AAAAAAAAAAAAAAAAAAAAAAAAAGACTGAAAGCTTCCACCTCCCTACCTCAGATCACAAACATAACAAAGATGCCCACTTTCACCATTTTATCGTACTGGCACTTCTAGTCAGAGCATTTGTGCAAGAAAAGGAAGTAAAAAGCATTTGCACTGGAAAGGAAGCAGTGAAATTATCTCTATTGGCAGATTACATAATTTCATATATAGAAAATCCTAAGAAATATGCACACGTGCACAAACATACACACACACAATCAGAGCTAACAAGTTATCTCAGCAACACGCAGGGTACTAGATCAAAATCAGTTGTATTTCTACATACTAAAAAGAAATTAAGAAAACAATTATATCTATGATAACATCAGAAAGAATAAAATACCTAGGAATAAATTTAACAAATGAAGCGCCAGGCCTATCCACTAAAAACTGTAAAACATCATGGAAAGAAATTAAAGGAGACCTAAATAAATGGAAATACATTTCATGTTCACGGATTGGAAGACTTAAGGTTGTTAAGAGGGATATACTCCCTTCATTGATCTACAGATTCAACAATCTCAATCAAAGTTACAACTGCATTTTTTACAGAAACGGACATGCTTATTAAAAAATTCACATGAAGGCCGGGCGCGGTGGCTCAAGCCTGTAATCCCAGCACTTTGGGAGGCTGAGGCGGGTGGATCACGAGGTCAAGAGATCGAGACCATCCTGGTCAACACGGTGAAACCCCGTCTCTACTAAAAGTACAAAAAATTAGCTGGGCATGGTGGCACGTGCCTGTAATCCCAGCTACTCAGGAGGCTGAGGCAGGAGAATTGCCTGAACCCAGGAGGCGGAGGTTGCGGTGAGCCGAGATCGCGCCATTGCACTCCAGCCTGGGTAACAAGAGCGAAACTCCGTCTCAAAAAAAAAAAAATAAATAAAAAATAAATAAATTCACATGAAAATGCAAGGAACCCAGAATAGCCAAAACAACTTGGAAAAAGAACAAAGTTGGACTCACACTTATTTTAAAACTTACTACAAAGTCACAGTAATCAAGACTCTGTAGCACTGGTATCAGAACAGATGCATAGATCAATTGAATAGAACTGACAGTCCGTAAATAAACCCAGGTATCCACGGTCACGTGATTTTCCACTTCACATCCATTGGGAGGCTGTAATTCAAAAGGGGAAACATGGAGAGCCTGGAGCTCTCATCCGTTGCTGCTGTGAATGTGAAATGTACAGCCACATTGGAAAACAATTTTGACAATTCCTTAAAAACTTAAAACACATTACGACTCTGAGCGGTCGTTAAAAAAAGCTAAAAACACATGGTCCACCTAGGTATATGCCCGTGAAAACTGAAATCAAATGTCCATAGAAAAACACGTATACACAAACGTCCCCAACATTATTCATGATGGCCCCAAACTGGAAACAATCCAAACGTCTACCAAGTGATGAGTGGATAAACAAAGTGCAGCGTATCCATGCACCGAAACTGAAACATCATTCAGCCACTTAAAAGGAGTAAAGTAT